ACGACGAGCTGACAAAAATTGAACAAGTATTTGTAGAAAATTGTTACAAGGTGTGATAGCTTGTCAAGTTCGAAACTATTCTAATTAATCGGTATTAATCAAAGAAAACCAAAAAAACTGTGACGCCGTCACAAAAAACGGTCAAAAGTGTCACAGCATCACGGTTTTTCTTTGATTAATACCGATTAATTAGAATAGTTTCGAACTTGACAAGCTATCACATCTTGTAAAGCAAACAATTTTCTACAAACTGGTATACTTGTTCAATTTTTGCCAATTCGTCTTCACTCTTTTAGACACGCTTTTTAGATAACCCCCAAATCGATTTTTGGGGCTGTTTGTACAACAGCTGTATTTTCATAACGAATCAACGTTCGGAGCGGAGACACTTTTCATCTTGTAGAGAAATGTTTAATCTACTTACTTATCTAGTTACCATTTTAGATTAGTTTGTGGCTTTATTGCAATAACCTTTTGAAAAAGAGCAAAAAATGGTGACTGTTAGCTGGACAAGCCATTTGATTAACTTTCAGTAAGTTTTTTGAGATATTAGTATGCCTAAAGTATGACTTAACTTGAATGTCTAATTTAAGTAACTTAAGTCATTTTTATAACAGACTGTAATACGTCTTGGAAAGAAAACTTGAAACCTATTTGATTACTACCAAATAATTTTTTATGCTGCTGACAAATCTGATACAGAGATCTGCAAACTGAACCGTATTCGAACCAAAAGTTGTCGAGTATCTTACCCTATCGTACAACCATAACCATTAGATTTATTTTTTTTCTCATTTGGTTAAAGTAATCAAAATTCTAAATTTTTGTTAAAATTTTTGTTTGTTTGAGTAAGAGCTCTTACTCAAACAAAGTGTACCCATACTAGTATGAGTACTGGTAGGACAAAGTGAGGATAAGGATAATATTTCGTTCGTGTACAGATATAAAAAGAAATACCCGTGCACGTCGTTTGTCCAAATAAACTCTGACGGTAGTGTATATAAAAAAGGTTGAAAATATTTTTATTCAAGTTGAGGTTTTGGATTGAAGTTTTTATTTGATAAAAAAGTATATTTCAGTAATTGGATTTCTACGGATGTTGAATTTAAACAAATGTTCACAAAAGTTGTATGAAGACAAAAGTATATCAGATTTGTAGTTAGCATCAAAAATTATCCATACAATCAATTACATGACAAGAACAAAAATTGAAGAGACAGTTGGAAAGCTTCTCTCACTAGATATAGATGGACTGGTTTTTATTGTATATTAAGTTGTGCTTGAGATATTTGGAGAATAATACTCATGTTTTCCTCTCTCTTCTAGTATCATGGTGAAAGTCTCATACACGTTGCACAATTTGCATTACAAGGTAAAAAACTTCAACGAGAAGAAAAAGAATCATGGCATGATTTTAATGCCACTATCTCTAAGGATATTGCTGCAAATATACCTGCAGCAGTATGAACGAAATAATCACGAATTTTTAATCGATAATATATTATAAGCAAAATTTCAATTTTTACATTTTTTTTTTATCAAACTTTTCTTTAGTTTTTAAATACACGAGCAATTTTCCAAAAGTTTAACTGTCCTCATTTTCTTCGTAATTCTAGTGTCGCTCGCATACAGCATATAACGCAAAGTTTCGGGGCTTGCATCTTTTAATAATTACAAATCAGGGATGTTATAAATGTGTCGTATTGTGAATTTTTTTTCAAATGAATATCCTGTTACATTGAAAAATAAATAATGCTGATGTAAACGTCGTATACTCCAAAACAGCAGCGGTAAATCTGCTCCTTCTATCAATATGAAGTTAATGAAATGTTGATCGAATCATTCATCTATATACGCAATAGCTTGTACACACAGTGTATAGCTCTCAAACTATAGCGGGTTTACAATACGAGTATAGCTTGCTCAAAGGTATTTAGAGAATTTAAGATATAGCCTCACAATGCAATCCTATAAACGATTAGTTATGACTGGATGGTATCAGATCGAAGCAGAATTTCTTTCTTCAAGCATGAACGTGCCTAATTGAAAACTGATATGTTATTGATAAAGTGAATGTTTAGAACTCGATTATGCTCTTTGATTCTAATCTGACTCGTTCGAGAGGTTCAGTAAATGGAAGTGATAACCTGGTCTTTTTCAAATAAAGCAAATAACAAAAGTCATTAAATACAACAATATTCTTACCGAATTATAATTTAGAGAAATATTAGGTATACAATATTATAGGAGAGCCTCAATGAGCCGATCGAGCACTTTCCATTCCCCATAAGGTGTAACATCTCGAAAAATATGTTTGGTATAAAATATCCCATTTTATTCTTCATACAAAAAAATTAGAAAATTATCGACCTATGATTGTCCAGTAATGAACTTTTTCCTGAACATTTCTAGTTCATAAGGGAGTAAGTATTTTAGTATTTAGCGTATAACTCAACATTTGTTTGATTATGAGCAATATCTCATTCGTCAAGTCGAAACGTTTTTCGAGAGCTTTCAGCAAAATGATTATATCTCTATCGGAAAACATGGTGTAGAGTTCAGTGATATCTTGTTTTGTTCAGAACTCTTCACTCCACAAGAGTGACCATTTGAAACAACTTTCAAGTACCAGAAAAAAGAAAAAAATTTTTGAAAGTTAAAAAAATAGAGTTTTTCTAGGGTACAGTGGTAAACTTTCAACAATTCGCATATCTCCAGTAGAAGGTCATAGAGAGCTACAACTGGTCTTATTTTGTAGAGGATATGTCACTCTATCATGCATCACGTTTGTCTCAAAAATGAAAATTTTTTCTAGAATGAGAGAAAGTGTACTCTTAAGCCTACGATAACTAGCAATTTCTTTTCGATTTTGACGATACGGATATTTGGATAGTCACATCTATCATCATTTCTGTTATATTTGGGAATATTTTTAATGGATATGGATAACAGCTTTTTAATTTTTTCGTGCATACAAAAGTCTTGATCCAACACAAACCATATATATTTCGATAGAGCTTAAAATTCTCACAAGATATCACACTAGACTTTATGATTCCGGTTAGACTCGAGGCTAAATGGACACAAATACGTTTTTTGATCAACAAAAGCTGGTACCCGCTGAGAATATTTTGGATCGTTCAACAACTATTTCTGATAAAATCTTGATTGATGACAGCACGTCAAAAAGTCCATACAAAACTCTACCGGTCAATGCTGAAAGAACCCCAACGTCAGTAAAACATCGACTTTTTCGCCTTCTTCGCCGAGCCTGAACTAGAGACAGCAAGTAGACATTTGGAATCAGCATGTGAAAATTGCATCAAATGAAGTAGCTGGGTTTAACACTGATATATTTCAACAAAAGTTCGACAAATTAACTGCATCAAAAACTTCCGCTGAATCGTAGAAATGAAAAAGCAAGTAGATCAAATCTCGCTGTTATACGTCTCTATTCTTTATGATTGTCGAAAATGAACTAGACGCCAGTATAATAGCTACAAATTATGCTATTTAGTTTTGTCAAATTTCATGTAAAAATTTTTTTTTATCAACTTTTCTTTAAAAATAATGCTCCTATGCGAACAAGTTAAATATCCATAAATCAGTGACATTCAAAGAGAATATTTTTTTTTAGTTTTTTTTCATATTAAAAAGTTAATACGATGTTTGATATTTAAATTAGTTTTCTAGTGTTCAGATTAAAAACTCAGATATGTGAACTCACTTCAATTCTATCAATCATACTGGTGATAGAGATACATCAGACGAAATTTTACATTTCTTCGAATTTCTTTCTCACGAGCTGATGCATGGTTAAAAAGTTAGCATGATTTTAAACACTGCCGCAAAATGGCACATTCAACATCTGACGGATAATTGGGTAACTTGTTCTCATTCACAACACCTGCAGTTGTATAAATACCACTAGAATGCGTAGACTCTATTGAAAACTGTAAAAATTTTTCATTTTGGTGACAGAAATTTTTGCGAAAATACCCTATCTATACATAAATATGACTGTACAACAAGTTGAATACACAAAAAGAAAAAGTTATCAACAATAAATTTATCAGAAAAGTATTGCAACTATTTTTGTTTAATAAAAAATAATCATGGAAAAATAGATTAAAAACAAAAAATAATTTTTATCTGTCATAAATCTGAGTGTATAAATCATTCTTATTAAAAAGTCAATATTATAATAGAAATGTGAAGGCATGCACACATAAAAAACATAAAATAAAAGTAGATTTAAAAATTGTTGGCGATTTAGATATTTGAATTTTCATCCACGGTGCAGAAGATGAATATGTTGTTTCTTGTTTTATCAATTTCTTACATAAATCAGACAGTGGTAACAATTTTTGTTGATCAGATGGCATCTTAGTCAATTGTTTTGGACATTTAAAATTCGTCTAGAATAATCAAAAATTTTTAGTAGTAGTAATAAAAATATCCGAGAATAAATAAAAACATACTCCACAGAATATTTCACATTGAGGACAAATAATTGAACCAACATAAATAGATTGATATTCGATTGATTGTATTGTTATATTTTGTTCAGCATATTCACAATGATATTTATCATTGCCAACATGAATATAGATTCCTTCAGATTCAACACATTCAAACTAGAAAACACATAAAAAACGTTTTTCAATTGAAAAAAACAAAAATCTATTCCATACCTGATAACATCCAGCAGTTTGAAGTGTAATACGTCGTCTCATTTGACATTTATCAAAATATTGATTCCATACTGAACCATGATTAAAACATTTAGATTTTGACGAATATTGTTCAAGAGCATAATTTTCAACATCTTAAAAAATAAAATTACTTTTAGAAAATAAAAAAAATAGAAAAACTATTAAACATACTTAATGGCTGATTTTCTTCTAAATAACATCGTGAATCACGTTTTGAATTTTTAAAGGATAATTCTTGATTATATGGACAATAATCAGCAAATGAAACATGTCCACCATAATACGCAAGAGCCGCTTTGTTTGTAACATTTGGTAATGAATCAAATATCTGTATAGATGAAAATCCTGCATTAAACAACATTAAAATAAACAACAACCTTACCTGATACTCAGCAGGTATTGGAGAACTGTACTGAACAAGATTACACATTACAATTGTATCGTGGGTATATGAACATATCCGTTTTGAATATTCCGGAGATGTAACACAATATGGACTGGGATTTTCATTTCTAGAAGAATGTATGGAATTAAAACAAGATTATTGAAAGCAACAAATTCATCTAGTTGATATGAGAGTAGTGATAAATTGAATTTATTATTATTAAAAAATTCTCTGTCTCTCTTCCTTGTTCATCATAAGAACTTGGTTCTTGCGCAGATCGATAGAGAAATGTGTGAAGAATATTTACTATGAGGAAATATGTAAAAGGTTTTGTTCTTTTCGTCCTGTTATTGACTAATTAGTGTTAATTAACATTAAAGTTTAGTCTACTAGTTTAAAGTCCCATTTGCAAAATAACAACTTACGAAAAAATTTGAGCAATACCTCAGCTGATAGAGAATTTCACGGGCTACAAGATGAGCTACCTTCAAAGTTTTAAAATTCATTTTTAGATGCTCAGTAAGTCTGGTAAGATGAAAGCTCTGGAATCCCATCGGAATGGTAAAAGTTAAATTTCTACGTCAAACTTCATCCGATAACTATTTTTAATTTTTTTCCTTATACAATTTAATGTCTTCTATCGCTATGCTAGAATGAATCCTTCATATCTAAAACTGAAGTTTTTAATGAAATTTTAAAAATGGGGCAAAAATCTTGAAAAAATCTTTGAAACATATATTTCGAAGTGTCCTCTACAAGCTGATGAAACAAAAACCAAGCGGGGAATCCCCTTCTCTTAAGCATAATAATGTCTTGAGCAATATTCTATGAGCTAACTGACGCCATTAGTAGCAATAAACAATTAAAAGCAAGATCAATATGAGAATTTTTTCTCACTTGCTCAATTTTGCATCAATCCATTCTTTACAACTCTTTTTAACAAAATCACAACCAGAATTTTTTCCCCATAATAACGGTTTCGATTGATCGTATGAAACATCATACCATCTGAAAGATAAATTGTAAATAGAGGCAAAACAACACATTTGTAAGATGAGACTAACCCACTATCTTCTAATAATGCCAAAGTTAAATTTGATATAACAGACTCTTGGGTATATGTTCCAGTCATTATCTCATGCTAGAAATAAAACAGTCTTAAACTATTTCAATTGTAATATATTTACCTACCTCAAATAAACGTTTCTCCCAATGAGTAAGAGCTGTTCCAGAAGAACCTTGATCTTCCAATTCGGCACCTTCTAGTGTTGAACAATTGAAATGTTCTCGAACAACTTCCTAATAATAAAATAAAAACTTTATAAAGTTCATATTTTGAAAACAATTGAATCTTATCAGCATACTTTCACTTTTGGTGTAGTAATTAGCCATACGGTTCTATTCATACTACCGCCACGAATTTTCCAATTCTCACGAACAAACTGTTGAGCTACTTTATTATCCCATTTATAAACTTGAAGTCTAGAAATAGGTTTAGTTCATAAGATTGATATTAAAAGTAGTGTATAGAAACAAACAGATACGAACTACGAACTTTTCGTCAAACACTTTTGGCCATCGTGTGAGTGGATCACGTTCTGTTAAAGCATTACCATTTTGATCACGAAAGAAAGCAAATAAACCAGATGAAAATGCCTTAAAATATAATTTCATTCAATATATAGAACAAAATTTAAGATAATAATAAATTTACTCACTAAAGTATGTAATATTTCATGCCTAATTGTATTTAATATTCCATTATAATTAATTGATTGATCTCCATATAATTTTTGTGGACAAATATTGATGTTACCAGATATTGGCCTATAGAATTAAAAACTGATAAAATTTCACAATTCAATATTTATTATTAACATACCGATCTTTTTCAAATTCTAATTGACAAAATGATGCTGTTGCTAGTGTATCAACAGATTCACATCGTGTTGTTTGTAGTGCTGATACGTATAATAAAAATTCGGATTTAATACCATCTCCACGTTTACCAGTCTGTTTACACGAATGACCTTTGTCACAAACATAGCAGAGCTAGAAACGAAAATGTATAAAAAAGTAATATCACTTAGAATAAAAACAAAACAAAAATATAACCGTACTTCCAGATGATTTTCTGGTACAATCACATCTCCACATTTCGTTTCAGATGCACACGTGCCATCACAATAATGTATTTTATTATCATTCTCAACAATAAAAACTTTTCGTGCTGGACAGGCTCTAAATCACACAAAAATGAATAAAAAATTTTTGCTTTACTTATGCGAAAAACAAGGCTTATACCTTGTTAAATGTATTGGATCAATTAATTTATATTTTGGACGAATTGTACGACTCCAATAATCAATTGAATCATCGATTGCATTCTAAAAGTGTATAGATCAAGTTTTTTTGAGATAAAAAAATGTTTTAATACTTACTTTTATTAAAGACCTTTCCGACTTTGATAATCTAAATAGAAAACTTTTTTTTTCTTATGGATATTTCGATACATCAAAATTTTTCAGAACATTGACTGTTTAAAGTTTACCTCTCAATACTCTTATCATAATGAACATGAATATTAAATTTATCTGACAAAGAACGTTTGATTCGATGATCGTGATTTGGTAATGAGGAAATGTAAGCATGTTGAATTTCATTTTGATTCGGTGGATAATGCAAAGAAGAATTAACAAGATAGAATATGCTGACACATAAGACAAAAGAAGGATAAAAATGTTTGCCGATGCAAGAAACCAAACGCCATAACATAGTACAAAATATAAAAGGAAAAAACGGGGATAATTGTCTAAAATATGAATAGAAAAATGATTATTTAAATGAATTGTATAAAACTAAATAAACAGAGGCTGTTAATAAGAACTAGAACGAATTCTATCTAAAATCGCACTATAATACAAAACTCCTTCTAGTTAAATTTTCTTCGATTGTTCAGAACATAAAATATTTCGAGCACAAATTTGAAAAATAAATACTATTCCATTTCATTCGATCTGCTTGTAAGCCTTGTTTTCTCGTCTGTTGATCAGTGAACAAATGTTATATTGTGATTTCTTCTGAATTAACCTTTTAATATCCAAAGATGAATATAACCGATACACTCACACTTTATTGTAAAAAATCAACGACTATACATAGGTTTATAAACAATGCATTAGATATGGTAATATCCGAGTTAAAGTAAATTCCTCAGACAGAATAGGGAGAAAACCCATCAATCAGCAGAAGGAAGGAAACAGAATAGAGAAAGTTACATATGAGGAAAATCCCAGAACATAGAGAATAACGCACAAAGTACATCCTCGTGGAAAAAAATAGTTGCACATTGTATTTTTAAGATATTTTCCTTACGAAAACATACTTTTACAAAAATGATCACATATTCTGACAGCGCTTGGAATTCTCTACAATTCTGAATATTTAAATCTGGTTTTGCATTTATTTGCTGAAAAATACATTGAGTGCAATGACGGCCCCCTCATCGTCAGATTCCCAGAAATTGTAATAAGTGTGATATCTCAATATTTTCTATTTTTCTCGTGTTTCTTTAGGATCCAAAGGTTAATGTTTTTTTAAAAAGATGCGCCGCGAAATGCTCTACAAAACCATACCTAACCTTTAATTTTAGAGCTTCAATCAAGAAAACTACGCAGATTATGCGAAAGACGAAAAAAATGAAAACTTTGAAAATCTGTTATTTTTTTCCACCTGAACCTTTTTCTTTTGCTACTATTTCCGTAAAAAAAGGGTTGCAAAAGTGAGAAGTCAGTTCTTTTTGTACTTCTGATTGTGCTCTTTCTCGTGGTCTGTAAAAAATCTTTTAGAACAGATGGTGTGGAAAAAACTAAAAAAGTAGCTAAAAAATGCACCTTTTTGGTACTTGTCAATTAGGGGTACCTTCGCTGTACTGAAATTATTTTTTAGCAAATAAACGTAAGACAAGGCATAAATATATAGGATGATAGAGAATTTTAGGCGCTATCAGAATATATAATTACTTTTATAAAAAGCAATTTCTATAGCAGAGCTGGGCAAGTCACGGGTTTTCCAAGTCACAAGTCAAGTCAAATCATCAAAAATTTTCTCAAGCCAAGTCAAGTCATGAGTAATAAAAACTTTTCTCAAGTCAAGTCAAGTCTCGGGATTTTCCAAGTCAAGTCAAGTCACAAGTTATGACTTTGAATTTTTATTTTCTGTAGAAAAATGCCCACAGCGAAGCTGGGCAGGTTACAAGTTTTCTACGAGCTTCGGCATTTTGTTTAGATACGATGTTTGTTTTTCGTATTTCCAAAAAAGATGTATTTCAAAAGGTAATCATAAAAAAAGACAATGCTGTAATGAGTCTAACATAGTTCAAAAACAAATCACAGGTAAACAATACACACGTAGTACGAGCACTTAAGGAGAACCTTTCGAGGTGTAGCCTTCCGATTCCAATGATTTGTACATGGATCGATAGATCTCAGTGAGGTAGTAAATACCCTAAAACGATTTGTGCCGATGACTCTTAAAGACCCGGTTTTCTGGAAAACCAGTTTTTCAGAAACTCT